TTAATAGTTGTTGTATCCTCAATCTTGCACATAATTGTTGTTTTTTTGCACTACTTCTTCACAAAGTTCCCTACTGCATGCTATTCCCTAGCCATAGGAACTGGTTTAGGGTCGTTCGCACAACTACGCAGCTCGTGACGCGTGTTTGTGCGTTTGATGCCACGAATCCGTGCAAGGATAGGCCTCTGCGCAACATTCACCGTTTAATCATGTGGATGTTGTTTTTAGCCCCATTTCTTCACGCAGTCCCCTAGTGCATGCTATTACCTAGCCATAGGAACTGGTTTGATCTCGTTCGTACAACTACGCAGCTCGTGACGCGTGTTTGTGCGTTTGATGGCATGAATCCGTGCAAGGATAGGCCTCTGCGCAACATGTCACCGTTTAATCATGTGGATGCTGTTTTTAGCCCCATTTCTTCATGCAGTCCCCTAGTGCATGCTATTACCTTGCCATAAGAACTGGTTTGATCTCGTTCGCACAACTACGCAGCTCGTGACGCGTGTTTGTGCGTTTGATGGCATGAATCCGTGCAAGGATAGGCCTCTGCGCAACATGTCAACGTTTAATCATGTGGATGCTGTTTTTAGCCCCATTTCTTCATGCAGTCCCCTAGTGCATGCTATTACCTAGCCATAGGAACTGGTTTGATCTCGTTCGCACAACTACGCAGCTCGTGACGCGTGTTTGTGCGTTTGATGGCACGAATCCGTGCAAGGATAGGCCTCTGCGCAACATGTCACCGTTTAATCATGTGGATGCTGTTTTTAGCCCCATTTCTTCACGCATTCCCCTAGTGCATGCTATTACCTAGCCATAGGAACTGGTTTGATCTCGTTCGCACAACTACGCAGCTCGTGACGCGTGTTTGTGCGTTTGATGGCATGAATCCGTGCAAGGATAGGCCTCTGCGCAACATGTCACCGTTTAATCATGTGGATGCTGTTTTTAGCCCCATTTCTTCATGCAATCCCCTAGTGCATGCTATTACCTAGCCATAGGAACTAGTTTGATCTCGTTCGCACAACTACGCAGCTCGTGACGCATGTTAGGAGTAACTGTGCAAGGATAGGACTTGTGCGCAACAAGTCAGCATTACAACGCTTGTTTTGTTTACATAGCCATAAGTTTGCCACGTCCAGGTAGGATAAGCTATTCCCAACTTCCAAAGCTAGTTTGGGCTCTTTCTCACCAATACGGATACCGCGACGATCAATCAGAGTGTAGGGTCTTGGGAGCCAGCTTAGAAGAAGTTGTCATCCCAGGTTTCTTCGTTTCCTGAAGCTCCTTGAAGGCAGTACACAGAAGTAAGATGTACTATACTGGCTTTTTATTACTAAATTGTGGCATGCATGAGCCTGATTCAAACGTTATAGAAGGTGCTCTATATTTAGAAAGAAATTATGGTACAAGTATAAACTAGCAACCTAAATATATTCAAAACCTTATAACGCGCCCGGAATTACACCTACACAACACGCAAAAACCAAAAAAAATCCGAGGCTGTGCCTTGCTGGCGCGAATTCACGAGGAATGGCATGCATCGACCATGCTGACGCGGCAGAAGTACTGGTAGTTCACGGCAGCCGAGGCAGCTGTGACTCTTATCTGTGAGCTCCCGAACCTGGCAGCTCGGCGGGTTGACCGGACGTGCACCAAGCCACCAAGTACCCACACACTGGTGCACGATCGATTTCGTCACCTCCATCCCAACCTCCTCCACCTCCTCAACGCCCCCTCTGCGATCCCCCTCGACAGTTCAAACTGAAGTTTCAATTTTCAAACTTCAAACACCACACCCCGTCAACCACTGCCAACTCCCTCACCCGTCCCCCCGTTACCACCACCTTAACCGTTATAGGCATCAATCGGGCCACCAAGCAGGACCCCAGCTATAGCGATGCCAACCCAAGGTAAGGGGTTTTCTCCCACGCGTTGCGCCTTCGAACCCTTCATATAAATTGGCGTTCTTGCTGGAGCGTTGCAATCATCTTGACAAACCTTCCCTAGTTAGTATTTATAGGTTTCATAAGTTAATAATGGGCCGGTCTCGTTCATTTAATGTCTCCGCTAGCATGCAGATGGCTGAACCGTTGCGATCTTCACTGCCACGCAAGAGCAAGGACAATCATGCCCTTTTCCCCGCCACCAAGGGTAGGCGCTCTCTCTGGTTTTTGCTTTTGAAGTAAACTTGGTTGTATCACCTAGTGTTTGATCTAACTATCTTGTACCCGTTTATTTCAGACGGTGATTCCCTCGAGGCTGCCGTGACTGGCGCACGATCTGGCAAGCGCGGCACCAAGCGTCAAGGTGAGCAAGGCACCAGTGTCAAACGTCCGACCTTGGCGTCTGCGCGTTCGAGTGGTGCTGGGTCGGCGCCGACACACCTGCTGATAGCTGCCGTCACGGGAAAACCGTCAGCTCCCGCCAATTCACCTCCTACCACTGCCTATCATGCTCCTGCCGCTGCCGATCCATCTCCTGCCGCTGCCGCTCCTTCCGGGTCCGATCCTGATCCAACTCCTGCTGCGCCAAACCCGGCTGCTGACGCTGTGGGTGTAGCTACTGCCACTGCGGATGCAGATGAGGAAGAAGAGCCCGAGCTCTTCGGGGATGTAATTGCGCAACCGCTACAGGGTAACGGCGCACGTGGTAAGTTTTTACCTGCGCGCTGTTCGTGAGAAAGCAACTTTTACGACGACTCACCAATGTTCTTCCTTGCCCTGCAGGTCTCACCGTCTATGCCCGTACCATGAAGCAGGCGGGCATTAATCCCAGTCTAGAGGCCGATGAGTTTCATCCTGAATCGCGCCCAAACCCGGTCAATCAAAGCCTTCATGCGCAGGCTGCGATTGCTCGCGAGGCTGTTGAGTCGCTGCAGACCGACTGCAAGACAAAGGACACGCAGATCCTGAAGGCTCTTGGCATCGCCGGATCTCTCGCCGATGCTGTGCTCCTGCAGAAGATTGTGAACCTAGATTTCGAGGTGAGTTCATTTCATAATGCTTTCGTTCTCTGTTTACTCCGGTTTACAACTGATGGGTCCTTACTTTTGCTATTGCAGAGAATAATGTCGGAAACCGTAAACGATTTCCTCTTCGATGGCGACCACATCAACATGTCGCCGAAGAGGATTGATGTTGTTAAACGCCTAGTCGGTAAGCAGCCGATTGCTCCTTGTTGCTATTGCTGCGAGCTGAGTTACTGACTGCCGCCCTGTTTTTCACTTCGCTCAGCACATGCAGGTTTCACGGCAGGCAGCGACGAAGCCACGAGGCTGGTGGCTCACCTGAAAGACAAGGACATCGTAAAAGAGACGGAGAAGCGGTTTAACAACCGCATTGGCAAGATCTACGGCGGCTGCAGGAAGAGCTTGCGGTTGATACGGGGCGCGCGGCTGTTCGTGATTAAACGTGCACCAAACGGGACCATACGAGCGGTGGAGCCTGACGATTTTGCCACCCGCTGCCATAGCTACGTGGCTGTGTACGGCAGCAGTAAGTGTTTACCCCTGCCCGCCCCACTAACCTTTGTATACTGTGGTTCCTATTGTTTGCAGCAACTCAATTCTTGTCATGAAGCTCTTACCATGTCATTGACAAGCACCCTGTACTTACTCTGTATGTCATTTTTTCTCTTTCATTGCTTTGTGTTTCTGTCACAGGGTTGAAGGGCATAGAGTGGCACCTGCTTAATGGCCACCCTTTTTCCAGCCCAGCCTTCATGGCGTGTGCACGCCTGTTTGTGACAGAGGATGACCTAGACCGCCCACTCGGGATCTATGCGTTGCAGCTCCTACTCATCCTAGCAGTCGTAAGTCTCATAGCACCTGTGAATGCATAGGTTTCTTTTGTATGTGCGATCTTAGTACATTAACAGGTGCCTGAGCCTGTGTTGTGTTGTCCCTTTTTGGCAAGTTCGATTTAAGCTACGTCACCCCACTTGCAACAAGCTTCAACTTGGTCGCTCTGGTGATACTCTCGCCATCTCCAGGCAAGCGCGCATTGTGCAGCGCTATATCAACAGTGTGGGCCGGACTGAGGGTGAGTACATTGGAATAGGGCGGATATGCTTGGCGCAATGGGTGACCATCCCCCAGGAGGCTTTGGATGCGTATGTCCTGGGGGATGAGGATGCGGTGGATGAGTTTGATGAGGACGAGGTGGTAGATGAGGATTCAGAAGATAAATCTTGAATGGTATATTTTGTATGCAATGCAGATTTATTAGTGCAGGTTGTATTTTATGCATCTGTTCCCTAATTGAACCAATAATTTCGGGTTTTAGAAATGGCACCTAATAATTGGCACAATTGTTACGTCAGCATATTCTGAATTTCAATTTGTACGGATTGCTGTAATTTATAATTATTGTTGTTACGAACTCTGAGTGTATACTAGTAACTAAGGTTACCAAATCAATGTAACACTGAGGTTGTTACACATTGTGTAGAGTATTATGGTAACACGGTTACTGATGTAACGAAGGTATCGAAGGTATCCGTTGTAAGCAAACCTGTTTTTGCGATGTGCAAAAATGTTTCCGCTATTATAATTCTCAATCTGTTTCGTAGGCTGCTATGCGAAAAAGTCGAGTCACTCTATGGCGATTAGTCACACTTCGATCTACTCACAAATGTTTTGCAGCAACCCGAAACTCTGGACCCAGTAAAAAAATGTACTGAACCCTTTTTCCGCAACTGGCTGTGTACAGTTCTTGCGCGCTTTGGGAAATGGCGAGTTCGATTGTGGAGGGAAACCTGGGGTTGGGAATGATGCCACGTGGAAAGTCGAAATCAACCTGCAGGTGACACGCTGTAAGTGTGTATTGATACTCGCCAATCCCAAGCATCGCGAAATGTTTCCCAGCGATGCCTATCAAACGTCAAGCGAATGGATGGCATGCTGTTTGACACTCAGGTACACGTTCCGATGGGCGAAAAACGGCAGTAGATGACGACGACACAAACCGTTTCGCGATGGCGAAGAGCCGCGGCAGCAGATGCGAGAGGAGGGTGGGGCAACGGCAGCGACGGCGACGGCAGAGGATGAAGCCGCGACGCTGCGAACAGCAAAGGCCAAAGCGGCGGCGGCGGCGCCGCGTAGAGACGGTGGAAGCCCGCGGCTGTCAAGCTCCGCCTGGATCACTTCCTTTCCGCCGCCACTACCTGCGCACGTGCCTCCACCGCCGCCTCCGCAAGAGTTCGCGGAAGTTGGTTCGCGCGCAAGTGGGAGAGGGAGGGCGGATGGGAGCAGCAATGACGGGGTGCTGCGCGGAGGGGGAAGCGGAGGCGGAGCAGGAGGGAAGAGGGAGGTGAGGATGCGGGCACGGGGGGCGGAGGATGGTAGAAGGGGCCAGGCGGAGGTGTGGGGAAGGGCGGGAGAGAGGGATCGGGGGAGAGCGCGTGAAAAGGGCTTGAGGGGGGGCTAGACAGGGGGAGCGACTGGGGGATTGAAAGGGGCCGCAGCGGAGGGCGGGAGGGAGGACGGGTGCAGGTGAAGGTGAACCCAGCAACTTCGAAGAAAGGTGGGGAACGAGTGGGAGGGCGTGGGTGCAGGTGAAGCCAGGCGAATAGGTGGTGAGGGGAAGAGAAGAGAAGGCAAGAAGGCAGCGTGGTGAAAAGACAAGCTAAGCCGACCACTTACATTGGCGAGGAGGCAAGCAACAGGTGAGGCGAGAATGACCTTCAAAACATGCAGAACCGATGCAATGCCAGCTCAAGCAGGCCATTTGGTGAGGTGCTGAACAGGTGGTGAGGTGGTGAACAGGTGGTGAGGCGAACAGGTGGTGAGGCGAATAGGTGGTGAGGCGAACAGGTGGTGAGGCGAATAGGTGGTGAGGCGAGCAGGTGGTGAGGCGAACAGGTGGTGAGGCGAACAGGTGGTGAGGCGAACAGGTGGTGAGGCGAATAGGTGGTGAGGCGAATAGGTGGTGAGGCGAACAGGTGGTGAGGTGAACAGGTGGTGAGGCGAATACGTGGTGAGGCGAATAGGTGGTGAGGCGAACAGGTGGTGAGGCGAACAGGTGGTGAGTTGAGCCATGGCCAACAAACACCACTGACGACCCATGGTGCTGTGTGCTATTCGCCTTGCCATTGCAATCTCACATTCTTAGACCTGCCTCCAACCTTCACCTGAGATGACTCTCACCCTCACACCATCCCCGCCTTCCTGCCGGCGCCCGGCCCCCTCACCTCGGACCAAACCCAGCTCTGCCCCCCTTTCCTCCCCTCCACACAGCCAGCTGCATGGCTGGCTCAAGCTCCTTCTCCTCCCTCCCACCTCTCCCTGCTGTCCTTTCACTCTCTCCCCCGTCTGGCCTCTCTCCTAACTCAACCCATCCCTCAGGTACGCCCACCAGGTGGTCACACCGAGCTGAACATGCTCATGCCCGCACAGCTGGTTCGTACGTCCTCCTCCACCCCCCACCTCTCCTTCCTCCCTCTCAGCACCTCCCCCTGCTGTCTGTCTCTTCCCTCCCCCCAGGTACGCCCATCAGGTGGCGGCAGAAAGATCCCGTCAAGGCGAGCTAATGGGCATGTTCTTTTATTCGACAAAAAAACACTGGGTGAAATGGGCAAAAGGGGAAGGCGGCACATTGCGCTTCAAGTCAGGACGTTCCCCCTTTCCATCCACCTTTCAACCTCCCCACCCCTCTCCGCCCTCCACATCCCTCCCTCCTTTTCCCCTGCAAAATTAGGGTGCCATGTGGCAGTGGAGGGTACTGGCAGGGCTGAAGCAGGCCTCTCCTTACCCTCCACATCCCTATGTCCTCTCCTCAGACCCTCTCCTTTTTCTTCCCCCCCGCCCTTCACCTCCAACTCCTCCCTTCTCCCGCATGAGCAGGTAGCGAAGCGATGCGGAGGCGCATGCTGGCAGGGCCGAATGTGGTGAGGCAGGCGGGTGCGGTGCCCCTTCTCCCCCCGCCTCCCTCCCACTTAGCCACCCCATTGCGCAGGGAGAGATGAGACGCCGTGTGCTGGCAGGGCTGAAGGAGGTGAGGCAGGCTGTGTGGGCATGAATGTGATTCCCCTTCTCTCCTCTCTCTCACGCCCCTCCCTCTTAAATCCTCCTCACATGCATGCGAGCTGGGAGCAATGCAGCGGCGTGTGCTGGCAGGGATGAAGGAGGTGGGGCAGGCTATGACCAGCAGGAGAACCAAGTGTGTGGTGCTGGCGCCTAACGTGGAGGAGGTGCGTGGGGCAGGTGAGGGGGTGAAAGGGGCAGGTGAATGTGGGTGCAGATGAAGTGGGGAAGGGGTAAGTTAGGTGGGGAGGGGGCAGGTGAAGGGGGAAGGGGAACAGCTGCGGGCGAAGTGTGTGGTGCTGGCGCCTAATGTGGAGGAGGTCTCTGGGACAGGCGAGGAGTGGAGGAGAGGGGGGTGGGCCAAGGGGGGAAAGAGGTCGGCGTGGGGCCGATTTTGGTGTGAGACATTTTTATGAATTTTAAATAGTTGTTCACATGTACGCAACTTTTTCGAAATCTCAAAACGGAGTCAAGACCTGTTCTTAATTATGCTGCATTCGTTCGAAATCAAACCTCCCCTTCCCATTCTTTCCTCCCTCTACCCCAGGCTTTCTTGATGTTGCCCTTAAGCCCATCCTATCTGATGCCGCTGCTCTGCATGCACCATTCCCAGCTCATACCATCCCCACCCAGACCCACCCGCCCCTCCACCCTCTCCCTTCCCCGTCGCACGATGTCTCCCATGCCACCATCCATCCGCCAACCGGTCTTTCGCATCCTATCAGATGCCGCAAGCACCATTCCCTGCTCAAACCATTACCACCTATCCAACCCTTCTCTCCCCGTCCTTTCTCTCCCTATCCTTCGCTCCCTTACCCCTTCCATGCATCTGTTGCTCTCAGATGTTTCATCAGGTAGAAGCACTGGAGTCATCACCTTACGACCTGCAGATGGGCCAGTATGCTGCCACCGCATTGGCTGCCCTCGATGATGTGGCAGCCTGCCATTGGCTGCCTTGCAGGTGAGTAAACCCTAGTCCCGCGTCCCTTTTATCACAACCCTCTAGTCTCCATGCTTCCCTCACCTCCCATCCCTGCCGTTGCTCCTGACCTCCCATTCTCTGCTTTGTCTTCTTCGTCCTTCCCATGCTGCTGCGCTCCTCGTTCCCTCCCCCCCGCCGCCATCCACTTCTGCACCTACCTACCTTGTTACCCTGCTTGCCTCATCTTTCCCCACGTTCCTGCACTGACCCCTGTCCCCTTGCCGCCCTCCTCCTCCTCCTCCTCCTCCTCCTCCTCCTCCTCCTCCTCCTCCTCCTCCTCCTCCTCCTCCTCCTCCTCCTCCTCCTCCTCCTCCTCCTCCCCCAGCGCTGCTCTCCGCCCACCCTTCTTCCGCCTGGCCCGTGGTGAGGCGGGAGCTGCGCCACCTGCAAGGAAGCTTCCTCCTGGCCACATCCGGTGCGGCTGCAGAGTCAGGCGGTGGGGCGCAAGGGGAAGGGCAAGGGGAGGAGGGAAGGGAGGGCGATGGGGAGGAGGATGGGGAGCATGAGGATGGGGAGGATGGCAGCGACAGTGCTGTGGGGCAGCACTTCAAACCACCCCAATCCACCCACCCATCCCATCCCGTCCGTTCCCTCGTCCGCCCTGTCCCCTAGGTGGTCTTGAGGTTGCCTAGGGAACTTTATACTCTTTATCTTTCTTGCTGAGGTGTTTTCTCTAGCAGCTGCTGCCCTTCCACCATGAGACAGAACTACTTCAACACATATGAAAATGCATGTGTGACGGGTAAAACTCTCAGCATCCTGGTGGTTGTGGCTCTCTCCTGACGACACGTCGCCAAGCTAAGTGCGGGTGTTGAATCTGGTACAATGCAGTGCTACCAGGTAACACACGTTACGGCGGAGTGCTGGTTATATCAGGTAACACACACTAAGTTGAGAGATGGTGGGAGTGCATGCATGAGGGGTAGTGCATGCAGCATTCCGATGGTAGAAACCCTCTCCTGACAACACCTGCCCAAGGTGACTGCATGAAGCTGCTGCCTGCGGGCTGCGATGGATAGAGGCGGAGGTGGGGTGTTGGCGCTAGCATGTCTCACACGGAAAGAAAGGGAACAGGGGGGTGCATGCGTGAGGGATAGTGCACGCAGCTTTCCTGTGCTCGTGGGCCTCTCCAGCCAAATGCTGCCTAGCTAAGGTGAGTGGAGGCCGAGGTGGGGACCTGGCCTCTAGTCACTCTTGTCTTGACTCATGCAAGCAGGGCTGATTCCCCACAGCACTCATGTGGCCACGGACTCCTTTCACTTACCGCATGCCCCATTACAGCAGTGGCAACGGCCGGCACGGGCAGGGAAAACTGCTGTGGCAGGATAGGGAGTGGGGGGGGCAGATGCAGTTGGTGTGTGGTAGCTGGGTAGGGGGACAAATGAGAGACGAATGAGGGGGAGACAGATAGCTGTGGCAGGAAGAAGTCTTTGTCTCCCGTCACTTCGATTTTTTTAACGCCTCCAAAAGAGCGTGCGCCCTCGTTCTCTCTTGATCCCCTTCCTCACTTCATCCCGTTCCTCACCACCCCCCCTCCCCCCCCCCCCCCCCTCCGTTCTACCATATCCTCTGTGCTTGCAAGCTCCAGCACGCCGTCTGATGTTTCCTGGAGCCTTCCTCCATTCCCGCCACTATTTCCCCGCACCTTCCTCCAACCTCGTTATAGTGTTCATGTCATTTCGTTGAGCCCATCTTTGCCCACCCGTTGGTACTGATGCGCAGAGGACTCACTCCCACCACCATATCACTCCCACCACCATCTCACTCCCATCACCATCTCAGTCCCACGCACCACCATCTCTGCTATGCATGCAAAGAAGCCTGGTGGGGCAGCAAGAGGTCCAAGAGCAAGGCAGGTTGCAGCCAAGACTTGTTACAGTCAAATGTGGAGTAATGATGGAGGAGAAGGGGGGGGGGAGGGGGGGGCAGTGTGCCTCTTCGCCTAGATAAGGTTAGAAGTGATATGTGTAGATACGTAATTGCACTGCACTAGCTAATTTCGTATGCATTGTAGCGTTAATGATTTCATGCAAGGGTTGAACTTGGCAAGTGAACTCGTAGAATTTGAAGAATGAATGATTGGGGTTAATCCAAAATAGTACTTAGATAATGGTTCATCATGTAAAGTTGGTATAAGAATTTATGATTTCTTTCTGTAGATTACTCTGGCTTGTATGTTCCGAAGAGTTCGCTTCAACTGGTTCGGCCTACGTTTTCGCCTCAAACCACTTCCGAGTCGCTACCGGACCTTTTTGCCAAGTTCCGAGCCTCTCTCCCGAGGTCCTCGCCTAGCTCTGCTATGTCTATTTTACCATCGTTTTAGACACTGATATGACATTCAGGTCTGTAGTTGTAAAAGCCTCGCACTTTGAGACTTGAGCTGACTTTTTCACACCTTGAGTCCCTCTACTACAAAGAGTGGAAGCAGCAGCAGCAGAAACTTCCTACTACACCACTCATCGTTGAGGCAGATGAAGTGCAACGGCCTTTAAGGCGAGAGGAGGTATCTGTGTCGGAGGAGATGTCTGGGGTGACTGAGGATGGGGGAGCAGCTGAGGTGGAGCAGCAGCAGCAGCTACAGCAGCATGCTCCACACCCACCTGAGCGTCCTAGGAGGGATGTTCACCCTCCTACTCGGCTGAACTATGCGAGCCGTGGCATGCCAAGTGTGGTACCAGCTGCGAGTGTGACTGAGCCAATTGACGAGGATGAGATAGCCTACTACTATATGGCTACATTAAGAGGGTTTGGAGGATAATGCTGTGAGAGAGAGGCTACAGCGGGGTGCTGCAGATTTAAGCAAAATGGAGATGTTGGAAGTGGGATGTTGGAAGGATATGTTTGTCTATTGAGATGCGTGTTGGAAGAACGTTGGAAAGAAATGGAGCTTGCTGGAATGAGTGTGCATTGAGTGTGCATGCATGAGCTGAGGCATCTGGGATGATGGTTGGCAGCCAGAGAGGGAGTTTGTTATGTGATGCTATCATTTGCATTCACGGCTGTCTGCCTCCGATCACGTGTTCGTGCATTGCATGCATGGAGCGAGCGTGTGCAAGAATTTATGTTTGGTGTTGTTTGGATTTTTTGGGTATGTGTGAATGTTATCTTGTTTGAGCAGATATCCTAAATGAATCATCTGCTAAAGAGCTTTCCAATGAACCAAGGATCTCTTCAATCGGAGCATGAACGAGGAAGTTACGAGCTGCTGAAGTTCGTATGCTTTTGATATTTGGTTGCAATGACTATGGGAATAAGTGGGGTGACTCTGTATGGGGTATTGACTTTTGGGGATTGAGAAATTCGTCACCTTCACTGTAGTTGCTGCAAAGTGGTTGGGAGAAGCCAACCCAGCTTGGTAAGTGTGGCCAAGTTGGGTGAGGTGGATGGCATGGGTTGGGAAAGTCACAAAGGTCAAAATTGGGGTGCCTATAGAGAGGGAAATTGTGTGCTTATGGGGTTTCCTTGGTTGGGGACTCCCTGAGGACCTTCTCTCTCGTCCTCCTCATCCCCTCCACCTGGTTTTCTTGCTACTCTTATTATCTTGTGTGGTTCTTGTGAGATAATTGTGATTGAATTAAGTTTCTGTGGCAGCATACCCTTCGGTGCGCTGAAATTCATAACTCCATTTTACTTCACCTATTGATACGATTCAATTTGGGAATTGTGGCCACGGTCTAGAGCTACAACATGTCACAATCCCAACCACTAGACCACTGTGATAAAAGGGCTCATTAAGTAGCGGGTAAGTGCGCTCATAACCCCCCAGGACAACGACCATGTAACCCTTCCTTAGGATCAATCGGGGATCACCAGTGGACCTCTGACACCCCTCGGCACTGGGATGCCCGAAGTGCACACATTGGGATTCGAACCCGAGACCTTCGCTCTGATACCATGTCATAATCCCAACCACTAGACCATTGGGATAAAAGGGCTTATTAAGTAGCGGGTCAGTACGCCCATAATCCCCCAGGACAACGAGCTTGTAACCCTTCCCTAGGATCAATCGGGGATCACCAGTGGACCTCTGACACAACATACTGAAAGTCGTGAAGTTTTGACGGTGCAATTTTCGTCGACGGCGTTTCTCGTGAAGTCGACATTTCTGTCCATAAATAAAGTCCAACCATTTTGAGATATTTCGGCCCCTAATCTTCATAGACTCCGTCCTTAGTCTCTAACAGGCGGCAACAGTGCAGCACCTCCGAAGTAAAAAAACAGGAATCGCCAGTAGCCTCGGATCGACCTGGCGATCGCGAAAAGAACCAGAAAAGGCGACGACGTGGCGACTTCGGAGCGGGCGAAAAAAGGAGAAAATGATGGCGTGAATTTGAAACGTCACGACCGGCCAGCAGCAGGGGAATTTGCCGAGAAAAAATAAGGCTCCGCAAAAGAAGATTCTGCTTTGACCGGGAAACTCCAGCCGAACACCCACGAAAGTAAGAATTCGTCAAAGGTATCCTATAAAAATACTTTAACCAAGAATATTACTTCTCGTGGTTTTCAAGCCTTTGAAAATTTCAGGGGAGAATAAGAGGCCAAGAAAAAGCCTTTGGAAATTATTCAGGTTTATGAGAACTTGGGCAAAGTACTACGGAGCGTAGAAAAGTGTCGTGCGTTTCATGGAGTTAATATTCTCTCTCCCGCAGCACCGTGTTAAGGCTCCCCATTGCCCACAGGTGAAGCCTACACAGCTGCAAAGGCTTAGAGGAGAATTCCAGGCTCGGGGAGAAGTTATACAAGTCTCGGAAAAATTGTCCTACCCCCCAGGTGAAGTTGGAAATTAAGAGTGCTGAGTCAGGTATATGAAATAGGGAAGGTGATTATTTTGATGTACCCTATGATCCTACTCATCGAGGTGTTATGCAAAGGACGACGCCTCCAGGCATTGGTGGACAGTGGTGCACCCCACTTGGTGTGTGACCGTGGGACGTTGGAGAAAATTGGAGAGAAGGCAGAGGAGACCCTGTTTTTAGCAACAATGGTGGACGGTACGAAGCTCCCCATCCACGGCGAAGCATCACTACAACTTCACGTAGGTGCGTTGAGGTGGAAGACGACGTTGCCGATCACGAACATCAAGGGACTAGATTTCATCTTGGGGCGAGATTTCTTGAAGCGGTTCAACCCTGAGATTGACTGGGTCAACAGGAAGGCGTGCATCTACAACATTGGGAAACGTGTGGAGTTGAGTGTGAGAATTAACGAGAAGAATGAATGAAACTAGAAAGGAGATGGGTACAAGTAGGAAACACAAAGTGTTGTACCCTCTAAGGACTACCCCAGTACAGCCTAAACAGACTATAGCATATATAAGTTTGACACACCCCCATAGGCAAAGTGGGGGAGAACTAGAGGTCACAAGACCAGTCAAGAAGGTAAAGCAAGCTCAGGGTGGATCACAAAGTCACCACACAGTCTGAGCACAAGCAAAGGGCCACAAGGCCAGTTCACATGCAGAGTTATATAAAAGAAACCAAACAATACAGTGAACACAACCTAGTAAGTGTAAGCATGCAGGTATAAGTATATAGAGTACAATACAAGCAGAGTAAAGAAGTCAACAAGTGAGGCACAATGGGTACAAGGCCTAACACAGTACAGAAACGCTGATGATCACAAGGCTGAAGTGCCTTGGTGAAAACATCAGCAGTGTTGGCCTGAGAGGCCACGTAGGCAAGACGAAGCTGACCGCGCTGCTGCAACTCTCGAGCAAGGAAGTAGCGCAGAGCAATGTGCTTCGTTCTGTGCTCCAGTCTGTGCTCCTGACACAAGGCCAGCATGGCCTTGTTGTCGACGTACAGAACTGGAGGAGAACGAGGCGCCTCTCCCAAGTCGGTCAGCAGGTAGGTGAGCCAGCATAGCTCCTGTGCAGCCATGGCCCCAGCGTAGATCTCAGCCTCACAACTGGAACTAAGAACAGAAGAAGAACGGGTAGACCGCTAAGAGACAGAACCGGAGCCAAGACTGAAGGTGTAACCCTGTGACGACCGCTGCGTAGTCAAGTCGTCAACCCAGGAGGCGTCTGCGTGACCAGTGAGGACAACTCGAGCCCGTCCTCCAAGCACGAGCCCCATGCCCGATGTACTGCACAAGTATCGCAACACCCTCTTTGCAGCATCCCAGTGCACCTTTCGGTGCCTGCCGGGAGCCACGTAGCGAGCCAGAAGGCTGAGAGGGTATGCGAGGTCAGGTCGTGTGCAAGTCATCAGGTACATGAGGCAGCCCACAAGCTCTGGATACGGGCCACTCGGCTCTACGGACTCGTCCGAAGGTGGAGCTGAGAGCGAGTGACCGGTAGGCAGAGGAGTGGACTGTGGCGAGGAGTACGTGAAGCCGAAGCGCTGAAGGACCTGCTGCACCATGTGTGACTGAGCCAAGGTAATGGTGCGCTGTGCGCTGTCCCGAGTGATCCGCAAGCCAAGATAGCTTGTCAGCTCACCCAGGTCTGTGCACGTGTGTCTCTTCTGCAGCTCGGACTTCACGTGGGCGAGTGCCTCAGTGTCAGCAGTAGCAAAGACGAGGTCGTCTACGTACACGAGAACGTAGAACGGCGGCAGAGTAGTGTCAGTGCGTAGAAACAGAGAAGGGTCAGCAGTGGAAGGAGCAAAACCAAGAGAAGCAAGAGTCGTCTTGAGTGTGTCGTGCCACTCACGGGGTGCCTGGCGGAGAC